TTTAGCTGCTTCTACATTAAGGGACCGCAGGGAATGTAATATAATATTCCGGAAAGCAAAGGAGATAGGATTACAACCAAGAATCACCTACCCAGCAAAACTGAGTATAATCCTGCAGGGGAAAAAGTAGTCATTTAGTGAAATAGGGGACTTTCAAGCATTCTTGATGAAAAGACCAGAGTTGAACAGAAAAATTGATTTTCAAGTACAAGACTCAAGTGGAACATGAAGAGGTAAACAGGAAAGAGAAATCATAAGAGACTTATTAAGGTTGAACTGTTTACATTCTTGCATGGAAAGATGATATTTGTAACTCATGAGACCTTTGTCAGTATTAGGGTAGTTGGAGGGGAAAAAATTATACGTACGTATATATAGATAGATAGATAGAGGGCACAGGGTGAGTTGAAAATGAAGGGGTCATATCTGGAGAATAAAATTAAGGGATGAGAGAGGATTATACTAGAAGGAGAAAGGGAGAGGTAGAATGGGGTAAATTATCTCACAAAAAAACAGAAAAGAAAAGGCTCTTACAGTGGAGGGGAAACGGGGGAAGGTGAGAGGGAATGAGTGAATCTTATTCTCATAGGATTTGACTTAAGGAGGGAATAATATATACACTCAATTGGGTGTGGAAATCTGTCTCACCCTACAGGAAAACTGGGGGGGAAGGGGACAAGAAAGCAGGGGAATGATGGAGAGGAGGGCAGATTGGGAAAGGGAGTAATCAGAAGCAAATACTTCTGAGGAGGGTCAGGGTCAAAAGAAAGAACAGAATAAATGGGTGGGCAGGATAGGATTAAGGGAAATAGAGTTAGTTTTTCACAGCATGTCTACTATGGAAATATTTTGCATAACTGCACATATATAACCTATATTTAGTTGCTTGCCTTATCAATGAGGGTGGGTGGGGAGGGAGGAAGGGAGAAAATTTGGAACCCAAAGTTTTAAAAACACATGTTTAAAAAAAATGTTTTCACATGCAACTGGGAAATAAGAAATACAGGAAATGGGACACAGAAATCCATCCCACCCTACAGGAAAATTGAAGGGGAAGGGGATAAGAGAAGTGGGGGAGAGATAGAAGGGAAGGCAGACTAGGGGAAGAGGTATTTAGAATGCATGCCATCTTGGGGTGGGGGGAGGGGTGAGATGGGGTGAAAATTTCGAACTCAAAATCTTGTGGAAGTAAATGTTGAAAACAAAAAAAAAAAATAAAATCTTCATTTCTATAAAAAAAAGGAGTATTGTGGGCTGCATGTTTGACATTTCAACAATAGAAGAATCCCTACTACATTATTGAAATTGAAAACAACAGCCTCTAAGTCTTCTATTAAGCCTCTCAAGATATAGATTTATCTTTCTCTCCAGGCTCTGCTAAAATCTACAACTTTTATCCTGAAGCCCATCTTATTCATTTCCCCATTTGTGTCACTTTACTTCGCTACCAGCTTCATTCCCTTCTTCAGTGAACAAAAACGTTCATGTCCCCTCTTTTAAAATGAAATAACAAATAATCATTTCCTTGACCAAATGATCATCCTATGTCTTTTGTCCAAAAACTTTTACAAATATAAAATTTTACATTTGCTGCAACCTCACATCTACTTAATCCTTAAGTCTTTGTAATTTGGCTTCCATACAACAATGGACAGAAAAAACTCTCTACAAGTGTCCTAATAACCTTTAAAAAAAATCTTTAAATCCAATTACCTTTTTTTCCATCCTTATCCTCTTATACCTCTCCATCATAGACACTTGACAATGTGATCACCCTTTCTTTCTTAATAACCTTTTCTCCTTTGGTTTCCATAACACTGAACTCTTATGATTCTCTTCCTACCTGTAAGACTTCCCTGTCTTCAATCAGAGTGATCACTAAGGTTCTTTCCTTGACCCTCTTCTCTCTCCTTATTGGTGATTTCATTCTGACAGCTCCTCCATATAGCTGACTCCCAAATCAATTTATCTCTACCAACAACTCTCTATCAGAGACAGAGTTCAATATTTTCATCTGTGTTGAATATGCCACTAACACTTCAAACTAATGCACAAAATTAAATAACTCTAAAAACCTCCACTTCTCTGTGTCTGCTGACAGTGTTCCTAGCTTTCCAATCATCCAGCTGTCTTCCTTTTCCCTCATCTCCTACATCCAATCAGTTGCCAGAATCTATTAAATCTAACTCTACCTCAGATCAGCGCCCCCTTCAACTCCCTTTGTCCCATTCCAGTTTAAGTTGCATTTTCTCCAGCCTAGAGAATGCAATAGCTTCTTCACTGGTCTTCCTGCCTCCATCAGGGACCCTTCTCCAATCAATCCTTTACATTACTTCCTTAATAATATTTCTAATACATGGATATGATTATGTCACTCTGCTACTCAAAGACTTTCTTCAGTATCTACCCAGTGTTCATGAAATAAACTCCTGATTCTGGCAATCAAGACCCTCCACAATTTAGCTTAAAACCAGCATTTCAAGGTAATCTAATATGATTCCCATTAAAAGGCTACATTCCAGGCAAATGAGATTATCCTTTTCCTCCCTTTCTCACCCTGTCCTCACTAACACCATCACTCATAGACTATATTTTCCTCCAATCATGCTCCCAAATTTCCATTTGCTTAAGTCACCCCTTTCCTTCAAGGTCCAACTCACAGGGCAGGCAAGTTGGTCTAGCTGAAGCATGAGGTTGCCCTTACAGGGTGAGAGGAGACATCATGTTGACAGTTACAAATGTCGACCATCACCTTCTCCATATGAAATACTTGAAGACAGACTTCTCGTCTCTAGTAGAATTTCTAGATTCTTTCAACTAATCTTCCAACGACACAGACTCAAAACCTTCATTATTCTGGTCGCCCTTCTCTGGATACATTCTACGTAATCAATGTCCTTCTTAAAGTGAGGCATCCAGAACTGAACACAAGAAGCTGGAGTAGAGTGCAAATGAATACGGGTACTGAACTTGGAGTTAGGAAGATGTGAATTCAAATTACATCCTTAAACATTTACTAGCTATGTGACCTTAGGCACACACGTCACTTAACCTCTTTGTTTCAATTTCTTGATATATAAAATGAGAGATTAGCCTCAATGATCTCTAAGATCCCTTCAAACATCCTTATTCATGGAAGCTATACCATTCGATGCAGCTCCAAAGCACACTAGTGTGATAGCACATAAGATTACTGACTCATACTGGGTTTGAAGTTCACTAAAACCCCAAGATCTTTTTCACAAACTGCTGTCTCACCATACCTATCCCATTCTATTCTTGTAAATATTTTCTCCCCCAATCCAAGGGTAAAACACTGCATTTTTCCCTACTGGATGTCATCTTACTATGCTTTAGGCTGTCAGTACCTTTTTGGATACTGATTCTGTCTTATACAATGAGTTGTATCATCAGCAGACTTAAGGGGGATGCCATCCATACTTTTACCTAAACTATTGATAAATATGACAACCAGCACAAGACTAAGCACAGATTCCTGAGGTTCTCCAGTAGAGCCTTCCTGACAAGATGATACTGAACCATTAATGACAACTTTTTGAACTCAGCCATTGAACCAGTTTCATATCCATCTGCCTTACTGTCTAGTCCATATTCTTAAAACTTTTCTACAACAACAGCATGAGACACTTTATGAAATGTTTTGCTAAAATCTAAGTCAACTTTACCAATAGTTTTCCTGGATCCATCAGTTACTAAACTGACCCCTGTCAAGAAAGGAAATAAGGTTAGTCTGGCATGACCTGTCCTTGATGAAGTCATACTGGACCTTGGTAAATGCTATTTCCTTTGTGAGATGTCCATTATTTCTTTAATGATTCATTCTAGAATTTTTCAAGGACCTGAAGTAAAGCTTACTGGTCTATATTTTGTGGATTCTGTCCTTTTTGCTTATTTGAAAACTTGGACATGTGCCTTTCTCTATACCTGTAGTACCTTTCCCAGTTTCCAAGACCTTTCAAGTATCACTGGCAACAGTTTAACACTGTTAATTCATGTTAATTCATCAAAGGCAACTAGATGCTCTTCTACTACCTCCTTACTTGTGATCAGTATCAGCTCTCTGTTGGCCAATTTAATTACATCATTTCCAATGCAAAGGTCATTCTCTTGAGAAGAGAGAACAAGAATTGAGAAGAGAATAACAATTGAGGAGCTCTGAATTTTTTCTGTAGCCAGTTGTCACTGTCTCTTCCACCCTAACCAGTAACCATTTCTTATTTTATGCTGTTTTTTTGCCCCTTAAAGCATCCCTCTTCCCCAAACCAAACCAAAAAACCCCACCTATTGTTGGATTTAGTCTGGAAGTATTACGGGATGACTTTACTTTATGTAAGCTCCAGGTATTTTTAACACTATCAAAGAGAACTACCATGTCTCTTCTCCCAGGAGCTATCTCCTTATCTATTTTCAGTAAGAGAGAGGGTTCTCTCAAAGAACAGGCTTAGGAAATTGCCCTAGTGGCAATATTATATATAGCCAAGAGCCAAGAAATAATGTTCTCATCTATATTTGTATGTATATGAGAATAACGAAACTAAATGGGACAAATGATAGTTACCCCAACATTCAAATACAAATATTAGTAAAAACTGAAGAAAACTACTATGTTTGTAAGTTAAAGAAATTGCAAAATAGCAAGCCTCTTCAAATTACCAAAGAAGCAGTTAAGATATACTACAAAAATAACTACAGTCCAATCTGATAACTGTTAAATAAATTAAATGAAGATAATGCTCATGTTTTCTGAAAGGCAAAGATGATTTATATATGTGAAAAGGTGATGCTTTCCACAACAAACTAAATAGTTCATTCTTATAAATCAGAATGACAAAATTCTGCATACAGATTTAAAAAAAAAGCATATTATCACCTTCCCAATGCCCACATACAGAAGCACAGAGTTTGGAAAGCACTTTTAAAATAATGAAGCCATCGTACACATCACATTACTGGCTCTATAACCGAAGTTCAATACTTACATTTTTCTGATCAATAGATTCAGCTGCCTTTGCTATTCCATCCAGACATTTCCCAATGATTGGTATCACTTGGCGATCCACCTCAGCATAAGTTTTCATTGATTCACCAATTCTGACTATTCTCCTTTCCTCCATCTCTTGTATTTTCTGAAACATAATATTTTTATATGATCAATTTATATATTTTTCTAGGATTTAAGAAAGCTTTATTTCCACAGGATGGTAACTTAAATGTTCTTTCAGAGATAAAGGGGTCAATAAAAGAGTCATTGACCAGTTAATTGCATCTAAATATTGGACATGCTTTTCAACAGGTATCAAACTCACAGACCGTGACCTACAAAACTTCCTAAGTCAATGTGTAGCCAGCAGTGATTCATTTCTATTTGAGTTTACACAACTGCTGTAGAGAATAAAGCATGGGGGCAGCTAGGTGGCATAGTGGATAGAGCACCTGCCCTGGATTCAGGAGGACCTGAGTTCAAATCCAGCCTCAGACACATAACACTTAGTAGCTGTGTGACCCTGGGCAAGTCACTTAACCCCATTGCCTAGACAAAAAAAAAAAAGAGAGAGAGAGAGAATAAAGCGTGTTCTAAAAATGTCGTTATCATTCATATTGCATAGATTGTCACAAATCATCCCCAAATCTGAAACTAGTAAGATTTCAAACGTCAATGATGCTTTATTTTTAACACATTACTTTATTAATTTGAATTTATCATCTAATGTTTTATGCTTTCCCATTATTTGTCACAAGAAAAGTTTATATAAATAACTGCTTTCTCCCACTACTTCCACTGTAATTGAAATAAAATCAGTGTTCTCTACATTTGGAGACATCTTTGGTGTTGGTATTTGTGGAGTTTGTATAGAGCCATGTGTATCTGCAACAAGAAACTGAAATTTGCTATTTCTGTCAAACAACAAACCTACCTATAAAACTATTAATTTTCTGTAATGTTCCTACTCAAGTGAAAATGAATCAAAACAAAACTGAAAGAAAGAACTGGCTGTCAAGCCCGTTTAAGCTTCACATCTCTATGCTGAAGTGGAAAATGGGGATTCTAAGGCTAAATAAATTTGAGGTATCAGGAAGAACATCAACATATTATTAATCTTTAAGGTAGGTAATTATTACTATCTTCCTATGAGTTTAAAAACTAACCCCAAATCCTTTTTAAAGGACACATTTTTTTTTTGTTTTTTTTTTAGCGAGGCAACTGGGATTAAGTGACTTGCCCAGAGTCACACAGCTAGTAAGTGTTATGTGTCTGAGACCGGATTTGAACTGAGGTCCTCCTGACTCTAGGGCTGGCACTCTAACCACTGCACCACCTAGCTGCTCCCAAAGGACATATTTTTTAAATAGATCTTTGGTGCACCACTCCAATTATTCTTTGAAAATCCTAGAACTAAAACTTTTCAGGATCTTAATGTTATGTGCTACTCAGTTTTTAAAAAATGATTTGGCTTAGGGGGAATGTTGGATCATACTGATTGGTAAGTCACACTCACAATTGTGAACATGATTTAAAAAAAACACACACACACACAAAAAAAACAAACCTAGCACTTTTACCTGGAAGATGTTTGGTATGTGAGTATAATAATGTTCATGCTGTTCATGGTTAAACTTCTGAAGAGTGGATGAGTAATCTGCCTTGCTGTCCTCTGCCATTTGATGCCGTAATTGAGCTTGCTGCCGGGCCTTTGAAAAACAAAAACAAAACATAATACTCTTTCGTTTACACTCATAGAAGAATACAAAGCGATGGATATATTCATTTGGCAAAACAATCATTAAAAAAACTTACAACCTGTTTATTTTAAACTTTATTTTAAAATCCACTATAATTAGATACTCCTTATGGTAGCTTTCTAACCTTTGTATTTCAATTTCATCCTTTCGAATGCTGCTTTTCTCAAACCATCTATATCAAAATTGCACATCTTTTTTGTTTCTCTTCTGGATCTTAATCAACTTCTGGATCTTTTAGATTTTTATCATTTAACTAAAAAAGCAGTATCCCTTTGTGGTAGGAGCAACATCAACAGCTAATCACAGCAGGGACACTTCCACATATGTCAAATTTTCCCCACAAAACAGCAATGAAACCATTCTCAAGATTTAATTGGTTCACAGACTAAGGCTCAAATTGTTGACTGTAGTTTCCTGGTTCCTAAGACATAAAAGTTTGGCATAGTTGTCTGTATTCCTAAGGCTTGGTGGACTTCCCACTCCTCCTCAAGTCAATATATCCTTCTGACTGGAAACACCATAGTGGCAAACATGGAAGCAAGGGTAGCTTTATCCAATTCAACCGATGCTGGGTCTATGTTGGACATCCTTTCCATGCTATTGCTGAGGAACATTTGTTCTAGGATATTTTACATGGACTGAGTTTCTCATTTCATTCTGAGCATGAAACTGAACCACTGTAATGAACTAAGTCAGGCCCCAAACCATCATCAATTGCACAGTATCTTCCTTGATAATTCCGAATTGTTTATTCTTCTTACTCTAATTTTATAAAAATAAATATTTTTTAAAATGACATCTATTGTTTTTATATTGCTTTAATTTGCAAGTATATCTCTTCCCATTTCACTCCTTCGAGCTACTCTTTGTAAAAACAATAAAAAAGAGAGAGAAAAAAGCAGATCGGTAAAACTAACCAACATATCAAATCCACACCCACAAAGATCTGATCCTCAAAAAGCTCTCACTTGATCTGTCCATCCCTATTAGCTATCCTCCTGTATCTCTCTTCCCTTTTGTGACTAAATTCCTTGAGAAGGCTGTCTATAATCAGTACCTCCACTTTCTTTTCTTTCACTTTCTTTTTAACTCTCTTCAGTCAGGCTTCTGACCAGGAGCATACTGGAGCCAACTCTTACTGATTCCCCATTGTTAATTTTGAGTGTATTTACATCTCATAAGGCAGCAAATGCAAAAATCAGGGCTTTGTTCAATGCTTTTTTGATTGTCTAGACTTGAGAAAGTGATGGAGGAAAATGTTAATAATTCAGATTTAAAATAAAAGTATGCTTTGAATTTTTGGAGAGCCAGTTGTTAAACATTTACCAGCAACTCTTGTTTCTTACTTCTTCATTCCACTGAACCCGGCTCTCTCCAAAGATACCAATGATCACTTAATTGCCAAATCTAATGACCTTCATCAATTTTCATCATTCTTGATCTCTCTGTAGCTTTTGACATTGTGAATCACCTTTTCTCCTAACGGGAGAAACTATATATAAACACACACATACATACATGTATGTGTGTGTATAAGATAAAAAGTAAATACAAGGCAAACTTGGAGAGAATGGAACTAGTAACTGGGGGAAAGAGGGGAAAACCAGAAGTAGTTCCTATTGCATTATTTACATAGCATATTGTTTTTTCTTTTTAACTGAGGTATGTATGTGTTTTTACTGCATATACATACACACACACACACACACACACACACACACACACACACACATTTTTGGACCAATGGTCTAGACCTGTGATTTCATCAGTGTAAGGTGATCTTTGGCAAATCACTTAACCCTGTTTGCCTCAGTTTTTTAATCGGTAAAATGAGCTGGAGAAGGAAACGGCAAACCACTCCAATATCTCTGCCAAGAAAACCCCAAATGGCGTCACAAAGAGTTGGACATTACTAACATGCAAATGCTATCCACATACTCAATACATCTGTAATATAATGCCATCTCAGAAAGTTGTCTTCTGAACTGAGAGGTTAAGTAATTTGCCCATTGTGTCATACATCTAGATACTGGAGTGAGGATTTAAACCATGGTCTCCCTGAATCTGATATATTTCCTCTACCCTCTATGCCAGGCTACCTTGACATATAGCATTTCATTAACTTTTATAATACATGTGGTGTGTGGCAATGATGCACTAAGAGGGTGTTAACAAGGTCCAGACTTAGAAATCATCACCATGGAAAAGGTACTCTGTCTTCCTTCATAATTTTGGAAAAAATCTATTTTTATTGTTGGACTTTTAAATGAAAAGCCTAAATAAAACAAACCATCAAGGTTTGTTTCACTTTAAATCAGCATACTTGATAATATCAAGCATCATTTCCCCTCCCCTCCTTCACATACTTTATTGGTTTCCTGCCTTTGTATGTAAGTATTTAGCCAGATACTGATTTTCACTTCCTTGACACAATTTAGCCACATCACTGGGTGAAAACCGTAGGTGCTAATTTATACCTAGTTCCTTTATTTTATTCTCTATTTGTACCATAAAACTTCCCAAATGAAGCTGATGTTCTTAAAATTTCCAACTGAATTTCCCTAAGTTGTTTTCCTTCTTTCTCAGAGCTTTTAGTTACCTGTTCTCACCATTAAACTACTTTTTTCTTGTCTACAATGGGCTTATTTTATTTACCACCTTTTTTTTTGGCTGAGCCTCCTATTAGCTCTCTTCCTGCCCATATACCTTGACTTTTCTTTGTGTACACTACAGGGAAAAAAAAAATCCAAACTCCTTCTTCTTAAAAAAAACAAACAAAAAAACAAACAAACAAACAAACAAAACTGAAACACTTACTCCAGCATACAATGACAGCTATCCCACCTACAAATATATTCCATCTGCTCCTAAAATAAGGCCTCAGATTCACAAATCTTGGTCAATAATATTTACAGAATACCTTCAGTTTCTTAATCTGTTAATACATTATTAAATAAAGCTGAAAATGTGAGATAGTGTTAATCTTTTAATTTCTTTAAAAAAATTCTTAAACTCTATATTTCCCAAATATTTTTAGCTACTGTTCCATACCCCTTTTTAAAAAGAGATAACAATCTTACAGGATATATTTCTATGAAAATAATTCTGAAAATTACTTTCTTAAAAAGAAAAGTCCAAAATTTGATCTGTGTTCAACATACAAGGAGAGATTTCCTTGACAATAAATCTTTGAATATAAAATCATAGAATATTTAACTAACAAGGGGCAACAAGAAGTTTCAGAGCTCTACCTATTTAGCAAGGGACCTAGTCCTCCTTCCAACTCCTATATCATGTAACTTTTTTATGTTCTCCTTTGGCTGTATAATTGCTTTTAAAAGGGTATTAACATGATTGTTTCATGATGTACTTTGTTTCCAATGTAGATATGGAATCGTAATGAGAAAATACTAGATGTGAGTTGAAGTAGCTGAATAAGGAGTAATAGACAAAACCAAGACAAAAAGGTTTGCTGAATAGAAGAAAAGGAGATAAGTTTTCTTCTGAGGGAGGATCTTTAGTTTTTATGGTAAGGAAGATTATCACCTCGAGGGTTTTTGTTGAATACAAAATTTATATAAAGTTATTAACAGATTACCTAAAAATCTTTTCCTATAGCTACAGAATGTCTGTACATTTATAAAAATTAGAAATGAACTAAAAAGCAACATAAAAATGCCATTATGTATCAAACTCTAACAGGGTCACAGCAGGAATACAGTAGCATCTTATTCTTTCTTCAGCAGGGCCCAGCTGCTATAGATCAATAATCACTCATGAATCCCATTCTATATTACCACGTAAGAACATACTATTGTTCTAGGGAACTTCTAACATGGAAGCCCTATTTTTATTTTCCCAGACTGTTGCTTGTTTATTTGAACAATACAACATAAAAATCCATCTCTGAATTCATTGTTGAATCATAAGACAGTTACTCATTATTACAAACAGATTTTTCCTAACATTAAGACTTAAGAAAAAATATTTTAAAAAGACACAACCAATTAGCAATTATATTTTAAACAGTATTGTTTCTTCTGCCTATAACTAAATGAAGACTAGAATTATTTTACTGTTTCTCATTTCCTTTTATGTGGCTCTGAAAAATCTGCTCTTTTTTTTTTCAAAGAGATATAGCATTTCAGTTCCAAAAGTTTTTTTTTAATTTCTCCACTGAATTCTGAAAAAAACTTTCAGATGACTTCTCGCCTGTTTCCTTTTCCTCCATCCCGATGAGCATTAAATATACTGTATTTTCTGCAAGACACTAGGTTATTTTTGGAATGTATGAAATTTTTTTAATGAGTTAATCACAGAATCCAGAAATAAGAATCTAAAAAGATCTTAAATGAGGATATATTAGCCAGAAGCTGGCAAGAGTTATAAGCACAAAAAATTGACTACAATTATTTCTGCTTTAATGCTTGTTTTAAAAAACGTGAATGTGTTCCAATGCAATTGATATACTAGGGACCAATTTAAGCATAACATGAATTTTGTGTTTGTTTATGCTTGATTTCATCTGCAAGACAACACAAAACTACATCACATCACAATAACTCACAAGCTGCAACCTTTCTCATGCTCATATTCACAAGCAAACTTCAAGTCTTTTTACTGTATAACTTCTGGTGCAATAAGAGTTATGGGCTGAGGAGGGCTACCTACCATCTCTCCCACCTTTCACCAAAGACAAAACCTCTGGACCCAGAATGTTGGCAATACTCTTGCCAGTAGTGGTAGTGATGGTGGTAGTAGTAGTACTAGTAGTAGTAGCTAACATTTATATAGTACTTACTTTGTAACAAGCACCATGCTAGGTACTTCACAATTATTATTTCCTTTGATCCTCACAACAGCTTTAGAAGGTAGGTGCTATTATTATCCCCATGATGAAACTGAGGCAAACAGCAGTTAAATGACTTGTCCAGGGTCACACTGCTAGT